CCGCTTTGATTGCACGCACACATAAACCCAAACGACTCTTTATTACCGGTATTAATAAATATCGTCAGCAAATAATTCAAGCTCTCGGTTTCAAAAACAATTACTTAAATGGAAATAATCCAAACTTGCAAAAAGAAATTACGCATCAAACGAAAAACGAAGGCATTGATGTGGTTTTAGAAATGTCCGGTTCAATTTCAGCTCTAACGCAAGCCGTTTCCTATTTGAATCCAGCCGGAATCATCAATGTTTTATCTTTATATGCAGAAAATATGGTTGCTTTGAATTTAAATCATTTAGTTTTAAAAAATGCAACTTTAAACTTTATCACGGGACGAAAACTTTGATCCACTTGAAAAAAATGCTATGACCTGCTCAAAAACGAAACTTTAAAGTTTGACGACTTAAATAAAATTATTACTCAAATTTTTTTCTTTACCGATTTTGAACAAAGTTTTCAACGATTAAAAAAGCAAAAAGCAGCTAAAATTTTACTTTCTTTTACTCAATAAAAAATTCGCTTTAACATGCGTTCAAAATTAAAATTTATTACCTTTATGTTGACAATTAAATGCTAAACCAATCGACAAAATATGGAAATATGGTAAAATGAATTTTTTAACTTGAAACTCTAATTCAGAGAAGAATAGTTTCTCATTTTAATTCAATTATTATGACAAAGAAAAAACAAATGTCTACTCTCGGTTATGTTTTATCCGCCATTGGAGCCGCGGTAGGGTTAGGAAATATTTGAAGATTTCCCACACACTTAATGAACTATGGAGGTCCAGCTTTTCTCTTACCATATCTTTTAGCAGTATTGTGTTTGGGATTACCGCTCTTAATTTTAGAAATTAATTTGGGTCATAAATGAAGAAAAGCGCCCTGTCTTTTTTATTCTCAATATTTAGGCAGTCATGGACGCTCCTTTGCATGACTGCAGGCTGCAGTTCAACTATTATTAGGCTGTTATTATGCAATTATTATCGCCTGAATTATTATTTCGGCTTTTAACATCATTGGAATTGGCGGAACTTTATCCGGAAAACCGGGAAATATGTTGGAATCTACTTATTTTAATGAAATTCAAGGCTTGCCAATTGTGAATGGCTGAAGCGGAAACATTCAGTGAAAAATATTGTTGGTTTTTTCGGTTGTTATTGGTGGTTCAATTTTTATTGTCAGTCGCGGATTAACATCCGGAATCGAAAAAGTCAATAAAGTAATGGTTCCATTGCTTTTTATTATTATTTGTTTTTTCTTTATTTATAGTTTAACTTTTGATAATGCCTGAGTCGGTATTTATGCTATTTTTCAACCTAATTTTGCTAAATTAATGCAGGGCGAAGCCTGAAGTGCGGCTTTTGGACAAGCTTTATTTACTCTCTCTCTGTGTGTAACCATTATTATTATTTATTCCGCCAATGCTCCGGAAAAAGGAGACAACACCAATCGAGCCTTAACAATTATGGCCGGTGACACATTGGTGGGGCTTTTAGCCTGTGTTATTGTTGGTTCAACTATCGGATACGGATTAGGAGTGGATCCCGAAACCGGAGCCGCTCGACAGTTTGAATCAATTTTAGTAATGAAAAATGAAAATCAAGAGGTCATACAATCAATCGTTCGCCAAACCGGTTATGTCACCGATTGAAATGTTTCCGCCTCGCTGATTGAATGGCAAGGCATTGGATATGTCGCCAAAAACGGAGTAGATCCGACGAGCATGGCCAGTTTGGAAAAATTTAATGGCGGAGCCGATTTAATTTTTCGAACTATGCCGTTTACTTTTTATAATGTTGCCGGCGGAGCAAATGCCAACTCCGGCATCGCAAATGTTCTCGGTTTTCTTTTCTATATCGCTGTTTTTTGTGCAGCTCTTTCATCAATGATCAGTTTATTAGAACCGACCGTAACAAACTTAATTCAAAGTTATCAAATTTCCCGTTTTAAAGCTGTATTAATTGCCGGCGGAATTCAGTTTGCTTTCGGGTGATGATTTTCCATCGCCGGATGAAGCGATGTTTGAAATATGAATGATAGTTACTATACCAATAATCTGCTTCTCATAGGAGGCATTATTGAGATTGGTATGCTCAGCTGATCATGAAAAAAATTAAAACCAATTCTCGATCACAACAATAAAAGTTCAATGTTTCAATTAAAACGCTGATTTCAAGTTGTTCTTTGATTTGGATGAGGCCTTACAATTGGTGTCTTTGTTTTTGGAATCACCGTTCAAATCATTGATTTTGTGAAATACTGACAAAGCATTCAAATTTTGATTCGCAACGCCAACACGAATTTATTAAGACAAAAACTAATTTATCCGCTGGCAAAAACAATTGTTTCGATTCTGTCCTATTTCTTGCCTTTTGTTTTTCTCGTCGTTGGATTTGGAAAAATTTGAAAACCCAAGTTATTGAAAGAAAAAACAATGACTCTTAAATAATTATGACAAATTGAGTTTTTTTTACCAATCCCGAACCGACAGTTTTGCAACAAACTTCAATTCTGCCCTGAATTTTTATGGGAATTGTCATCGGATTGTTTGCACTTTTATTTATTGGTACAATGATAATGGAAGCGATTCGAATGGGTTCGTTTGATTGACGTCAGTGAATAAAAAAAATCAAATTTTGTCAACGCCAAAACAAAAAAAATTCGAAACTTTCTGCAAAAACAAAATCCAAGAAATAAAAGATTTCTATGATTAAGGAAAAACAAATCAAAATCTTATTTATAGATTTAGATGGAACACTCGTTCTTGACGGGCAAATGCAAATAAGTCAAGAAAATCAACAGGCTTTACAAATCGCCAAACAGCATAAATATCAAATTGTAATTATTACCGGGCGCTCCTTCAAAAGAAGTTATGCACTGGCAAAACTCGTAAAGGCCGATTATTTAATTACGGGTTCCGGAATCAACGTTTATCAATTAAATCCTTTCTCTCTTCTTCATTTTCATCAATTAAAAACAAAAACAACGAAAAAAGTTTATCAATGAGGCAAACAAAATGCCGAAAATTTTCTCATTTATTATGTTATTGATAATAAAACAAAAAAAAATCGAGTTTTTTATCAAAATTTACCCCTTTCGCAAAATAATCGAAAAATTCTTCGCGAAGAACAGGCCCATTCTTTCAAACAGGAACCGTCTTTCGAATTTGGATGTCAAAGAATTTTAATTTATGGTCAAATTCAAAAATTAAAAACGATTACAAATTATTTGTCTCCTCAAGATGCACAAATCATTTTTACCGGTGAGGAAATCGGAACTGCATGAGAAATTGTGGAGATAAATGCATTTCAAGTTGATAAAGCCAGTGCCGGCCTTTGACTCGGCGAACGACTCAAACTAAACTTAAAAACTCATGCTATGACGATTGGAGATAGCGGAAATGATGTCAGTTTGTTTCAACAATCGGCAATCGGAGTTGCCATGAAAAATGCCATGCCCCAATTAAAATCCGTGGCTACTCATTTTACGGAAAGTGTGGAAAAACACGGAGTTGCCCGAGCTGTTCAGCAAATATTAACAAAAAACGAATAAATAATAACTCAATCAATCACTTTCAAAGCCGTCCATTGTATTTTAAATTTGACAACACCCATATATAATATAAAGAATAAAAAATAAAATCAGAGAAAGGAAATTAAAGTAACAATTATGAAAAATCTATTTTATTTAATTATTAATGCTGGTTCCAGTTCTATTAAATTCCAGTTATTAGAAAAAACAAATGATGAATATAAAGTCATTTGCAAAGGCCTTGCCGAAAGAATTAAAGTTGATGGAATTATCAACATTGAATATCAGGGAAAAAAAATTCAAAATAAAGAACATTTTCCCAATCATGACATTGCCATTGAAATTGTTTTGAAATATTTAAAAGAAATTCGAGTCATGAATGATTTAAATGAAATTACCGCGATTGGACATCGAGTGGTACACGGCGGAAATACCTTTATTAAACCGACTTATATTACCGATGAAGTAGTAAAAAAGTTTTCCAATATGCTAAATCTGGCTCCTTTACATAATCCCGCTCATTTAGCGGTTATTAAGGCTTGTCGCAAACATTTGCCCAATGTTTCGGGAGTAATGTCTTTTGACACCTCTTTTCATACGACAATGCCCCTCGTGAATGCCTTATATCCTGTGCCTTACGAGTGATATGAAGAAAATAAAGTTCAACGATATGGATTTCACGGAATTAGTTATGAGTATAATGCTTTTTATCTTCGTCAAATCTATGGATTGAAAGAAATCAATGCCGTCATTTGTCATCTGGGAAACGGTTCAAGTGTTTGTGCAATTGAGAATAATCAATCAATTGATACCGCAATGGGATTCACTCCCTTGGCTGGTTTGATGATGGGAACAAGATGTGGTGATATCGATCCATCAATTCATGAGTATATTAAACACGAGCGAAATATGACACTTGAAGAAATTACTCACTCTTTAAATAAAAAATCCGGTTTGCTGGGAGTAAGTGGATTAAGTCCGGATATGAGAGAAATTGAAGAAAATGCCGCTGCCGGAAACGAACGTTGCGAATTAGCTCTCAATATTTATTCGCAAAGAGTTGCTAATTATATTGTAAATTATGCAAATAAACTCAAGGGAAAAATGAAATTTCTCGTCTTTACGGCGGGAATTGGAGAAAACAGCGAAGTCATTGTGCAAAAAACGGCGGATAAACTACATGTTTTACCGATTAAATTTAAAAAGAATTTATTTTCCACAAAAAATTCTACGGCAAAACATTTTTTACTGTCCGAAAATGATTCGCCAATTAAAGCAATGGTGATCAAAACAAACGAAGAACTAATGATTTGCAAGCATGTAGAAATGGTGCTGGCAGAACAAAATAAATAACAATTCTCGTTATTCATTAATTAACAAAAAGTCGAGCGCAAATGCTCGACTTTTTGTTTAATAAATCAATGGTGCGGAAAAAGGGATTTGAACCCCCACATCGTTTCCGATACTAGCTCCTAAGGCTAGCGCGTCTACCAGTTCCGCCATTTCCGCTAATAATTGATAACATTTATATTTTATATGGGTTAAGAATTTTTTGAAATGTTTTTCCAACAAATCATTATTTGCGTTTAACCGGAGTTTGCGTCATTAAGCAATTGAAATTTAAAGTTTTGGGAAAAGCGATTACATCGCGAATACTTTTGGCATTGGTGAGGATCATAATCAAACGATCAATTCCGAGAGCAAATCCGGCATGTGGCGGAAATCCATATTCTAGGGCTTGAAGAAAAAATCCAAAATCTTTTTCAATTTTACGCGAACTTAAATTTAATTTTTTCAAAATGTTTCTTTGCAATTCTGATTCATAAATTCTCTCTCCGCCGCTTCCAATTTCGCATCCGTTTAAAACTAAATCATAACTGGCCGCGATGGTTTTTTTTCAGTCTTTGTGAAAGGCTTTAACAGAAAGCGGGCGAGTGAACGGATGATGTAAAGCGACATACTTGTTTTCCGTCTCCGAAAATTCAAACAGCGGTTGATTTACAACTCAACAAAATTTATAAATCTGAGAATTTTTTAAATTTCAAAAATTGGCCATTAAATTGCGCACTTGACCCATAATCATTTGCGCTTGTCGTTTTCGCCCCGTAAAAAAAATAAGAGAATTTGAAGACGACTTATTTTGCTGATAATTTCGAATTGCATTAATTTGTTCTAGATTCAAATGACTCATTTGCCGCTGTGGGCTAAATAAAGCCAAGGGAGTATCGGTGATTTTACTAATTTCCGCTTCCAAAAGAGCAAATTGATCTTTTGTTAAAACTTGAGAAAACTCAATTCCAATCATGCTTTTTGTTTTTCGAATTTTTTCGGACAGTAAATGAGAAAAATCTTTTAAATATAAATCAAAACGCAAGTCCGGAGCATCCGTTCCATATTTGTTTCAGGCTTCTTCTCAAGTAAGGCGAGGAAAAGAAGATTGAAGAGAAAATAACTGACTTTTTTGAAAGGCATAAACCAGTAAATCTTCAACTACGGAAATTACATCCTCAGAACGAGCAAAAGCCATTTCCAAATCTAATTGAGTAAATTCCGGTTGTCGATTTAATCTTAAATTTTCATCTCGAAAACAACGAGCAATTTGATAATAAGAGGAATAACCTGCTCCCATTAATAATTGTTTATACATTTGAGGAGACTGAGGAAGAGCGAATTCGTATCCAAAACGAGTAGAAAATCTTACATAAAAGTTTCGTGCTCCTTCAATCGTCGGAAAAGAAAGAATGGGAGTTTCAATTTCCGTAAAATTTAAATTTTGAAAAAAAGAATGAAAAGCATAAATTAAACGAGAACGAAAAATTAAATTTTTATGAATTTGCGGTCGTCGTAAATCTAAATAACGATATTTTAATCTTAATTTTTCTAATCCGTCCGTTTCGTTTTGAATTAAAAAAGGAGGCAGAGTTGCGGAATTGATCAATTTTATGGTTTTTAATCGAATTTCATATTTTCCCGTCATATGACGAGAATTGATTTCCTGACGATGAATCAAAATACCGGACAATTGTACAACATCTTCTTTTTTTAATTGACCGATTTCGGAAAATAAAAGTGAATCTTTGTTATGAACTACAAATTGAAGAAATCCGTAACTATCTCGAAACTCAAGAAAAAATAAGCTTCCAAGACGTTTGATTTTTTGAACTCATCCACAAAAATTAAGTTCTTTATTTAAGAGATGTTCATTAATTTGATGAGTATAAGTAATTTTATTGTTATTGATCATTTTGAGAATGAATTTTAGTTTTTAAATCATGAGAGACTTTAGTCAGCGATAAAATTCAAGATTTATTCTTTTTTTCTTTAAAATTAATTTTTTGTAACTCAACTTTTTGTTGATTCATTCAACGATTTGACAAATAAATTAATCATTGAGAAGAATTTTTGAGGGCAAAAGTCATGCATTTTGAAAATGAAAGGGGTCTAAAAAGTAATTTGGGCGGAAAATTGAAACTAAATAATTCTTTTTGAATTTGAAGCGCTTTTATATAATGATTTTCGTTTTCTCAGCCGATGAGAATATCAGTTTTTTGGTTGAGAGAGTAAACAAACTGATTTTCTTCTAAGGCAAAAAGAAAACGCTCGATTCCAATTGCAAACCCAACTCCCGAAATGGTTGCGCTTGAACTTGCGGAAATAAAGGTCGACAGAGAATATTCACCGCCGGCTAAAATAACATTTTTCGCTCATTTTGAAGAAGAAAGATATTTCAATTCAAATACTAAACCTTGATAGTAGTTTAATCCGCGTGTAAGAGTTGGAACAACCACAATTTTTACCTGCGGAAGGCAAAGTTTTAATTGAGTTTGTAAAAAAGCAAAGTGTTTTTTTTCATGTTCATCTAAACAATCGAGTAAATTGAGATTCTTGGAAAATAAAGAAGCGCATCGAGAACAATCTAAAATACGATGAATATTTCCTTTTTGTTGTCTGATTAAACAACTTGCACAAAATTTTTCTGTCAAATGAGAATTATTATGTAAATATTTTTTTAAATAAATAATTTGCGCTTGATTTAAATAATTAATCTTTAAAAGAACATTTTTTTCCAATTTAAAATAAGACAACATCATATTCATTCACTGAAAAAGCGAACTGAGAGAATATCGATTGGTGTGAATTTGTTCCACATTTCACTGTCAAAATTGTCGTGTTCGTCCTTTTTGCGGCTTTTCATAACGAAAACAGGGACCGGAACTATAAAAGGTTTGTGTTTGCGGGACTTTAAAAATTTTTTTTTGTGCAATTGCCCGCATAATTCCGGATGTAAGTTCCGGACGCAAAACTCATTTTTTTTGTTTTGCGGAGATGTTTTGTAAATAAAAAAATTGATGTAAGATAACTTCGCTGGTAGAACCAAGTGTTTTAATAAAAGCTGCTTCCTCTTCGACAATCGGAGTTTCTAAACGGCCAAAATCTAATTTTTGCGCAAAATAATTAAATTTTTGACAAACAAAATTACGTCTTTCCGCCAGCGGAGAAAAATAATCGTGAAATCCTTTAATTAAATTAATCATTAATTCCTTTTACCTCTTCTTCGCGACCATTTTTGAAAACTAATTTTTCATATAATTTAGCAAAAAAGCGAGAATGTTTTTCGGTAACACGAGTGAAAAAAATATAACACATAGTTTCTAAATAGGATAATAATTCTCAAAGAATAAAAAAAGTCATTCCATACATGACGCACAATCGCAAAGGAAAAGCCGAAAGAAAAGCGACAATAACAAGCGCCCCAATTTGTAAAACTTTTAAGGTTAATTGAATTTCGGAACTTTCAACTTTGATAGCGACTAATTTTGTTTGATAATTATCAAAACCGGCGGCATTCAACTTATTTAATTTTTGTCAATATTTGACCATGCTTTGAAAACGAGTTAAATCCGTAAAAGCAAAGAAAAAGAGAAAAATTAAGGATAAAATATTAAACCCTAAATTGGTCAATCATAAAACGGGCAAGATTAAGATTAACTTAAGAATAAAACTCAAAAGAAAAATGATTAAAATTTTTCATCCGTATCGAAGTCCAAAATAAAATGTGGGAAGCAAATATCCTAAACTAATCAAAAAAATAATTTGTTTCAAAATATAAACAATTAAACGCGAAGAAGCAATATCTTCCCGTAATATTCATTTTTCGGTATTTAAATAAGCCATATCGGAGGGAGTTAAATTATCAAAAAAGGCAATTACCGTATCGCTGGAACTCGCTCCAATCGAAGTTCCGGGCATGAGCATATATTTTTCATCTAAGGCTGTAATATATTTGAAATACATCACACTATAAGACTGAAAATTTCTTTTTATTCAAATGGATTTAAATTGATATTTACTAAAAATATCGGGCTGTAAAATTCAAATTAGTAACAAAATAAAAAATAAAAGCAGAAAAAAAATCAATAAAGCCGGTGCATAAAGTTTGCCATTTCGATAAAAAAAACGATAAAGAAAAGCATAGTTAAGTTTTTTCATCACAAAAGTCGTTTTCTTTTTTTGCGGTAATTGAAAAACATATTTACTCACCATATCAGAACTGAAAAATCAACAAACTATCGCCAAATAAAAACCAACTCAATAAACTAAGAACGAACTACCCCATAGATAAAATAAAATAGTTCCAAAGTTATCGGATCAGTGAATATTCACTCATGAATAAATGGGAATTAAAAATAAAAAAGGCAACAAGAAAAAAGAAAATGTTTTTAACTCCGTAAATTTTTCCGCATATAAATATTGTTTCATATTTAAACGGGATTTTGCATAATGACGAAAACGAGAAAAAAAGTTAAACATATGATAAATACCGAGAAAAAGATAGAAAAAAAGAATCATTAAAGTAAGAAAGTCATATTTTACTCCCAGTTTAGTCAAGAGAAAAAAACTAAAGGTTAAATATAAAAAAGAAAATAAAAAAATTAAAAATCCTAAAATAAATTGATAAAAAAAAAGCAAAAAACAGAAAAATAAAAAAATTAAAACAATTAAAATAAGGGCCATATGAGCAGGACTTCAGGCCGCTCTTTCGGTAGATGAAACTAAGAATATTTCTTGTAAATCATAGGTTTGTAAATTAAAAAAAATAGTTAAAAAAATAAAACCAAGAACAGCTACAAAAGGCAAAAGAAAAAGCAAACGTCGACTTCAAAGGATTCAAAAATTTTTACGTCCTTGAAATTGAAAACCTTTTTGTTTCTCAATTTCTTTCGCTTGCTTATTTTGAGGTATTTTTATGGCTTTGTTTAACATTATCAAAAATTTTAGTAACTGCTTCTATTTCATATAATTTTACTTTAATCTCGGCAAATTCGTTCATTAATTCTGAACTAAGTTTATACAACTCATTCGCTTTTAAAATTTCCTCTTCAATTTGAAGAGAAATGTTTTGTTGATGAATTCGAGTATTTAAATCTTTGACACTTTGTAAATCAATAACTCAAATTTCGGCTTGATTTTGATTCATTTCAAAATTCTCCACTTTTAATCCGTCTAATAAAATTAATAATTTTTCTTCTGAAATATTTTCTAATTGAAAATAAAATTCTCTTTGAAAAAGAAATCGAATTGAGTTCATTGGTAAAATTTCTAATTTACTTCTTTGGGCTATTTTACGAATTCATCCCATCACACGCGCCAAGTTATCCGTTTGAATTTTCAATATTAAACTCGCAGATTTAGCAAATCGACATTCAACTCAATAAGTAGTTTTTGCGGGAGCCCGAGCAACTCTCTGCAGCGCTCGCTGAATCACTTCTTTCGGCATGTTTGCCTGCTTAGCCCGAACAATTAAATTTTTGAGTTGATTGTTATTATTCACATCGACTCCGCCGAGTTGAGCCGATTTTGTAATTTCTGTAATTAATTTTTGAAATTTTAAACTACGTTTGCTGTCGACTTGTTGTTTACGATGTTTGATGTTTGCCCATTTTGAATGACCCGCCATAACAAAAATAAAATATCAACTTGTGTTTAGGAATTTTTTTCGGAATTTTTTTTACCTGTTAACAAAAATTGATCTACTTTATAACGAAGAAAGTGACTGTAAAGACTAATTTCCGGATGTGTTTTTTTTACTTCCGCAACGGATTTTTTCATAATCCCACTGAGAAATTTATAATAATCATCAATTTCCTTTTTTTCCACTTTAATTTGGGCCGCTTCGGCTATTTTATGAGTTAATAAATATTCTTTAATTAAACTTTCGGTCGTTTTTTTGAGTTCTTGTTCATATTCGATTTCTGTCTGTTTGCGAGATTTTAAAAAGTCTTCAAATTTTTGTCCTTGCGTTAAAATGCGATTTTTTTGCTCTTGTTTAATTCGCTGAAATTCTGTTTCTAAATAGGCTTTCGGAATTTCGACGACGGAATCGAGTAAAATTTTTGCTTTTATGGCCCGTAAAGTAGCTTGTTTTTGCTCTCGCTCTTTTTTTTCTTTAATTTCATTTTGACAATGCTTTTTTAAATCGTTCACATTTTTAATCGTTGCACTTTTCATTTTTGCTAATAATTCTTCGTCCGTTTCAAGATTTTTTTTATCTTCCACGGCAATTACATTTACCGTAAATTCTACCGGTTGATTGGCGAATTCGGGTTTGTAATTGGCGGGAAAGACCAACGACAAAACTTTGGTTTCATTGGCTTTTGTTCCCACCAGTCCCGTTTCAAAGCCGGGAATAAATTGTTGATTTCCTAATTTAAGCCGATAATTTTTGGCCGAACCTCCTTCAAATTCTTTGCCATTCATTCGTCCAATAAAATCAAAGCGAACATAATCTCCTAATTTCGCTGTTTTGCCTTTTTTTTCCACAAATTCGGCATGTTGATTTTTTCATTCTTTCAGTTTGTGATTGATATCTTGGGATGTGATTTCAATTGGTGGAATCGGAACCTTAACATTTTCGTATGAACCGAGTTTGATCGTAGGCATTTTTTGAAAATTAAAGGAAACTTGCAATTCTTCAAAGGAAACTTTATCCGTTGTTTGTCGAAAAGCTCGATAAAGTTGTAAATCTTCTTTTTTTTCGGAATTTAAAAAACGTAAGCATTGAATTTGACCATTGCGTTCGGCCCGCGATAAAACATTATTGGAACCAACTTTTTCATCGACTAAATGAACGGGAAACTTGCCTTCACGAAATCCCTTCACCTTTAAAGTTTTTGCAATATTAGCCCGCGTATTGTGAAGAATTTTATCTCACTCGGCTTTTTCAATTAAAACCGTCGCTCTAATCTCAAGTTGTTGATTTTCTTTTTCAAATTTAATGATTTTCATAAATATTTACTCCTTTAATTTTAGCATATTCGCATTAAATATAAATAATGGTACCTACGGAGGGATTCGAACCCCCGACCTAGAGATTAGAAAGCTCTTGCTCTACCAAACTGAGCTACGTAGGCTTGTTTCTCTTTCTCTCAATTACAACAAATTATTTTCGATTTGTCAAGTCTTTTACATTGTCAAAAATAAAATGATTCAATATTGAAATTCCGCATGCTTAATCAATTTCGAAGAAATAATAAATTCAATTTTCGTAAATTTTTTAAAATTGGCTGGGGCAGATAGATTCGAACTATCGCCTCGTGGGATCAGAACCCACTGCCTTTCCGCTTGGCTATGCCCCAAACTAAATATGGCAATATCAAAAAATGGTACCCGGAGCCGGACTCGAACCGGCACGAACTAAGTTCGACAGATCTTAAGTCTGTTGTGTCTACCAATTCCACCACCCAGGCAAAAATGGTGCCTCGTGAAGGGCTCGAACCTTCGACACCCTGGTTAAAAGCCAGGTGCTCTGCCAACTGAGCTAACGAGACATAAAAAATAAATGGCTGGGGCAGATAGATTCGAACTACCGCATCGTGGGACCAAAACCCACTGCCTTTCCACTTGGCTATGCCCCATATTTTACCGAATTTACAACAATAAAACGGAAAAAAATGGTGGAAGCGGAGGGATTCGAACCCCCGAACCCAATGGGAGCTGTTTTACAGACAGCTGTGTTTAGCCACTTCACTACACTTCCGTGGTGCTGGTTATAGGCCTCGAACCTACAGTCTTCCGCTTACAAGGCGGGTGCTTTGCCAACTTAAGCTAAACCAGCATCAAAATGGTAGAGTGTGGCAGACTCGAACTGCCGACCTCCTGTTTGTAAGACAGGCGTTCTCCCAACTGAACTAACACTCTAAATATTTATATTGTTATTTTATTGAATAACATTAAAAAACACAACTATATATAATTCAATCAATTAATTTCAATTATAAATATATATTACGAGAAAAAACCACATTTAACTTTTGTTTTTTGAACTCATAAATTTGTTTAATAACGATCGGAATCGTAAAAATCAAAATACCGAGAAAAATATAAAGTAAGTTTAACTGAACATCGGCAAAACTAGGAATTAGAATGCCGCCGCCCGACATTCATGTCATTATTAAATAAAAAATAAAATAACTGAGAAAAAAAGCTAAAAGACTAGCAATCACTTTTTTAAATACGAAAAAAATAAGATAGTTACTCATTAACTCACCGACATAATAACCCAATTGTCGCAAAGTCACGTAATTTGATTGATTTTTGGCAAATAACATAAACGACATCAAAAACAAAATCATTAACAGAAAAAGAATACCAAAAGAAAGTACCGAATCCAACAAAACGGAAAAAATTCAAAAATGTACATAAATGGATTTAACTCCTTCTTTTTGGTCAAAGGCACTTTGATTGGCCATCGCGATTTTTTGATAAAAATTATTCATTATGCGGGCTTTCTCCTGAAGAGAGATGTTGGGCGAAATATTGTTGAAGGAGCTAAATTCGTTCAATAAATTATTTTTACCACCGAAATAATTTAAGGAACGAACAACATCAACAACACTAAAACGAGAAAAATGAGTTTTTGGATTCGGACGTTCCGGAGTTTTTCGAGTCAAAATTAAATTATAAATTTGAGCATTTGGATTGTTGAAATAGAATTCGGAAATATAGCGATAATCGGCATAAATAGAAGTTTTTAAAACAATCTTAGGATCAAAAAATCCGCCGATTTGTAGTGATGGAGTTGCCACATCGCGCGTTGGTTCCAATACTTCATTGGAAGATAAAATTTTTAATCCGTCAATAAAATCACCCAGTTTATATCCATAACGAGTACGAAAATCGTCCGAAACAAAGACATAGCGACTATTGTCAAAAGTGGATATTTTTCCATTTGGCAAAATTTCTATTTCCGGTAATATTATATGTACCGAATCAAAAACACTGAGATACTCTTTAGGATTCGGATATGATTTGTTGAAATTAAGGTAATAAAGTTGAGAATTAAATTGTTGAGTTAATTCGGTTTCGATAACTGCCCCATTTTTGCGATTAATTTGGCCATGTAAAGAAAGCACGGGTAAATCAATATCTTCTTCAAAAGGAGCATAATTAAATAGTAATTTGGACATATTAAAAGTATGAAACAAGCTTGAATAAACTCTTCCGGAACGTTGATCAATATAAAAGTTTAAACCTTCGGGCATATATTGTTCATCAGTACTCAATAGAGTACGAGTAAAGAATGCTCGCGAATCCGGAACCTCATCATTAATATGGCGGAGAACATTTCTATTAGCTTCATCATCGTTTTCGCATGTGTCGCCACTCTGACAAAAATTAAAATTTTTTCGCGGCGCAAAATTAAGATTACTTTTTAATTTGCCCCCTTCAGTAACCTCAACACTTTGAGAAAATTGAGTAACACTTTGCACGTTTGAGTTGAGAAAGCTATTTTGACCTCGCAAATAATTATCAAACGATAATTTGAGAAAAATAATCATAAAAGAAAAAGCAAACAGAATGAGAGAAAAAATAAAGACAATGATTTGTTTTCAACCATTTTTAAAAACAAAAAAATTAAGTACTTTTCAAGAAAAATTGGGAATAAATTGAAAAAAATAAAAGGCTCTTCACAGAGAAGAAAAAATTATAGTTATTCCCATAGAAATACGAGGTTGAAAGTGATGGGGTAATAAAATTTTTCGCATGCGAAAAAAAGAATAAATAAAAATAATGAATGATCAAACAAGGCTCGGACCTAAAATAAAAATTAAAAATCCTCATCATGTATAGGGAAAACTGGAAATAGTCAAATTAATTGAATTTAAAGTCCAATTCAAAAAGTAGCGATAGGCAAAGGCTCCGAGTATAAAGCCAATCGTGGCGGCAAAAAAGATAAATAAAAAATCTCGAATAGCATTTATGGCAGCGAGAAAAGAAAATCCATAACCCAATCCGTAAAACAAACGATATTTGTTTTTGTTTTTTTTGGTTTCTTCGGTTTCAAAGAAAAAAGAGAAAAGTAAGATAATAAAAAAACTAAAAACAAAAACTCCAATAAAAAAATAATTGAGTTTTTGATTAAAATCAATCTTTAATCCGGAATTAATATCTTTTTCGTAAGTTTGAATTGTGGGATAAAATTGATATAAATTTTCATATTGTTTTGCCAATTGTTTAACAATCGCATCATTTTTCAGAGATTTTTTGGCCTTTAAAAAAAGAATGTTTCGATAATCAATAATAAATTTATCGATATTTACTCACCGATCAAAAGTTTCATCCGTAACATATAAAAAACCGATTTTGTCATAAACAGAATAATCGTTATCAGAAATAAATTTTTGATTCACTAATTTAATAATTGTGGAATAGTCGGTGGAATAGGAACTAATTTGACTTCCCGTGCCGACAATTTCTAAACTATATTGCGGACGATTAAAGAAATTTTTTCAAATCACCTTTTTATTCGGCGAAAACGAAGTCGAAAACTTTTGATCAAAAAAACGCTGACTTAAAACTCCCTGGGCGGGAGAAAGGACCGAAGTCGGTCGACGTTGATTTTCGGTGTTCGAAAGAACCAATTTATTGAAATTTTTATCAACAGGCGTGACTGTCTGAATAACAATGATGTTCTCGCTTTGCGAATCATAAAAATGAGCCGTTCTTTGCAAGAAATAATCAAAATATTGTCTAAAATCAATATTTGAATCGGCGGCGGAGGAACTAAAAAAGTGTTCATTCAAGATATCGGGTAGTGTCTTTTGTGACGCTCGACGTTGATTGAAAAGATCGTATTGACGCTTATCGGGAAATCTGACCGTGTAATCAAAGGGTACCGATTCCTGAATTAGATGTTTTTCTTCTAATAAACGATTACCCACTAATTGACCGAGCGAAGAAAATAAAAAGGTAAAAATAAAAATAACAAAAAAGAACATCAAATAAAATAACGGCCGACATCGAACGGCTAAAATTTTACTTTTTAAATATGAGCGGTTGGCAAAAATTAATTTCATCAATTGTTAGTATATTATCTTACTATTTTAAAATAGACTTTTTTAGTTTTAATAAATAAAATGTAAAATGTATACAATAGAAACTTAAATTTTTAAAAACTTGTCTTTTCATGTCAAACTGCCTATTTTGCGATATTGTGAATCACAAATTAAAAGCTCATATTCTTTATGAAAATAAATATTTGATTGCTGTTTTAGATGCTTTTCCTGTTGATGTCGGGCACACATTAATTATTTCCAAAGAATGCCAACCGAACATACTAAAACTATCCGAAAAAGCGGCAAAAGCAATTATCTTAGCGGAAAAAAAGATTACCGCACTGCTTGTTGAGAAGTTATTGCCCAAGGGGTTTAATTTTGTCAATAATTATAACGAAATCGCGGGGCAACAAATCAATCATTATCATTTACACATTATTCCTAAATTCAAGAAAGAAGAGGGGTATAAAGGAATTCATCAAAAATTAACAAAAAAAATTAATTTACTTGAAGTTTGAAAAAAAATTCAAAAATAAAAAAATGAAAATTATTTATCTGTCGGCAAATTGAGAAATAGGAACTAAGTTCAAACGAGAAATGGAAAAAAAAATTCATAAATTAGAGCAAAAATATCAATTTATTAAAGCAAATGATGAAGTTCGAATTAAAGTCGAATTATTAAAAAACTTGCATTGTCAAGTAAAAGTGGAATTATATTCAATTCAGTTAAATAAAGTCTTTGTTGCCTTGGCCGAAACGGAAAATATTTATGAATCTCTAAGTAAAGCCATACAAAAACTCAATACTCAAATTTTAAAAATTAAAGAAAAATTTCAAAATTAAAATTTTAACTTCTTCACATTTTTCGCTTTGCCGGTTTAATGAAATATTGTTGTTTTCGAACAATATTTTTACGAAACAAAGAGAGACGATTAAAACGACGAATAATGCTATTGTTATTTTCTTTTTCGGAGGCGATAATTTTCAACATATAGAAAATTTTAACATATAGAAAGAGTAGAATAAAATAAATGGTGAAAAAAGATTTTTTACAATATCTACTAGCGATTGAAACGAGTTGTGATGAAACCAGTTTGGCTCTTTTTCATAAGAAAAAACTTTTAAAATGCTGAACCTGAAGTCAAATTCATCATTTTCGTAAATTCGGCGGAGTTGTTCCACAAATTGCAAGCGGGTTGCATATGAAAATACTACCAATTTTATTGGAAAATCTAATTAATGAGTATCCCGCCGCTTGATCTAATCTCAAATATGTCGCCTACACTCGCAATCCGGGATTATTGGGATGTTTGAGAATGGGAGAAGCGATGGCGCACACCATCGCACTATGTAAATCAGTTAAAGTTCTTGGTCTCAATCATTTGGAAGGCCATATTTATGCCGTTACTTTGAATCATAAAATTATTTTTCCCGCTTTAACTCTCGTTGTCAGTGGAGGACACACACAACTCGGATACTTGGCGAAAAATCTTGATTTTAAAGTTATCGGGCATACGGTGGATGATGCGGTCGGCGAAGTAATTGATAAAATTGCTCGTAAAATAGGTTTGGCATATCCGGGAGGGGCAGAACTGGAAAAGTTAGCAAAAAGAGGAGAAAATAAATATATGATGAAAGTTTATGAAAATAAAAAAGATTTAAATTTTTCCTTTTCCGGATTAAAAACTCATGCTATGAAATTAATTCAGCAAACAAAAAAGAGTGATTTTTCCCCAACCGATTTTGCATGTTCGTTTCAAAGCAAAATTATTGAGGTTTTATGTAAAAAAATTCAGTTAGCTTTGCAAAAATATCCCGCAAAATGTTTAATTTTAGGAGGAGGAGTGGCAAGTAATTTTGCTTTACGAAAAGCAATTGAAAAAAATTGTAATCTACGCCTGTTAGTTCCGGAAAAAAAATACTGTACTGATAATGCGGCTATGATTGGAGCGCTGGCTTTGGCAAAACTCGAAAAAAATGAATAATACAAATAAAATATACAAAAATCAATCTCAAAATCTCGAAAGTGGCAATGGATATAAATATTTAATTTTAGGATGTGTAATCTTAATTTTATTGATTAGTTTATTGCGTTTAACTCCGATTGGTAAATTTATTGATGACTTATTCTGATTAATTTTTGGATGATTTCGAATTATTGTTTATGCGGGAATTATTTTGATTGGACTTGGATGAATCAAAAAATGAAATATGAAAAAAATATTTTTTCATAGAAAAGCAAAGTTTAGTTGATGATTTGCCCTTAACTTTGTATGATTTTTCGGTTTTTTTTCCAGTTTTGTATTAATTATTCAAGCTCAGGAATATAATTTTTGAGATTATTCGACTTGAACATTTCCCTTAATGAAAAAATATTGAACTCATTGACTGAACGAAAGTATTTTTTCGGGTACTTATACAATTAAAGAACTATTTTTACCTCATTTTGGATATTCTTTACCCGACGGATGCGGTATGATCGGAATGTTTTTTGCATGTTTAAGTTCTTACCTGTATTTTTTAGTGGGATTTTTGTTGAATTTAGTAAGTTGATTTTTTTTAATTAGTACCTGATTTTTTCGACATCCGTTGTTTTTCTTCCTGAAAAAAGAAAAAAGAAATCGAATCAAGTGAGAAAAAATGAACGAAAAACAACAAGTTAAATACGAAATTGCGAAAGGATTTGACATTAAAGAAAGTGATGTCACGATCGAAATTCCCGTTACTCAAAAAATTTTAAGAAAAGAACAACAATTAAAACTAGAGAAAAATGCTGGGATTTCCGATATACATAAAAAGCACTTTTTTTCTCAAGAATCAAAAGCAAACATTGAAGAAGATGAATGAACAATTGAAGATGAAGTATATAACCCAAAACCATCGCAAAAGAAAAAACAATCAGAAGATAAATTTATGACAAAAATCGGCAATATAACCAAAACAACTTTTGATAAATTTACTTCCACCATAAACTTCAACAAAAACGAAAAAAAATCTTCGATCTTTTTGGATAAAAATTATGTTTTACCGACACAACAATTATTTAATTCAAAAGAAACTAATCAAAAAGAACAACGTCGATTCAATGAAATGCAGGCTCAATTAAATCAAGAAAAAATTGAAAAAGTTTTTCAACAACATCAGGTTTCGGCAAAAATTATCAATTTTTTCGTCGGTCCTAATATTACTAAATATGAAGTTATTCTTAATGAGGGAATAAGAGTACAAAGAATTACCGAAATCGAACAAGAATTAAAATTAGCCTTAGCGACACCTTTGTTAAGAATTGAGACTCCGATTCCGGGCAAATCGGCAATTGGAGTAGAAATACCCAATCCTCATCAAATTTTTGTTCCTTGACATTCGGTACTTAAAAAATTAAGCATTCCCTCCTTGCATTTGTGAATCGCGATCGGAAACAATTTTATGAATCAAACGGAATATTTAGCTTTAGAAAAACTACCACATCTCTTAATCGCTGGCCAAACGGGAGGAGGAAAATCTGTTTGTTTGCATAGTATAATTTGTTCTTTAATTTATCAAAAAACTCCCAATCAATTAAAAATTCTACTCATTGATTCTAAATATGTTGAACTTAACATATATGAAAAATTACCTCATTTAGTGAGTTCCGTGATTACCGATTCCCGATTAGTTTTGTCGGCTTTGAATCAAGTTTCAAAAGAAATTAATAAAAGATTTAAAATTCTGAAAGAAACAAAAATCAAAAATATACAAGATTACAATAATCGTTTTTCTCAATCTCAATTACCTTATTTTGTTGTGGTAATTGACGAATTAGCGGATTTAATGTTAACTTTTCGGCGAAAAATTGAAGAAAAAATTGTTCGTATTTGTCAAATTGGTCGGGCCGTCGGAGTGATACTCATTGTAACCACTCAAAGACCATCGATTGATGTTATTACCGGTTTAATTAAAAGTAACATGCCGGGGCGAATAGCTTTTAAGGTGCCAAGTTACATTGATTCAAGAACAATTTTGAATAAAGCTGGAGCGGAAAAATTATTAGGTTCCGGTGATTTAATTTATACTAAACCGAGCGAAGGCAATCGCCGATTACAAGGAACATGAATTACTTCTAAGGAAATTTCTCATTTAGTCAATTTTTGAATTCAACAAAAAAAAACAAATACAAATTGAAAAGAATTTCAAAATTTAGAAAGCAAAAGCGAATCAACTATTTTTGAAAATTCGTTCAATGGATTCAATGATCCTCTTTATGCACAAGTAAAAGACAGTTTGAAAAACTGAGAAACAATTTCCGTTTCTTTAATTCAGCGAAAATTTAACATTGGTTTTAATCGCGCTGCCAATCTGATTGAAGCTTTGGAAAAAGAAGGTCTTATTTCCAGTGCCGACGGCAATAAACCACGAACTATTATTAAACCTTAATTATTGTTGAAAACGCTGAAAATCAAATCCTAAACGTTTTTGCAGAGAAAAAAGTTTGGTATTGGCGAGATGTTGAGCGTGTTGATTGCCTTTTCGCAGTTTTTGTTCAATGATATGCGAATTTTTCATGAGTTCATGATATTCTTTTTGAATGGGTGTCAAAACATCAATAATGGCCTGAGCAACTAAATTTTTTAAATCTAAATAATTTTGACATTGACTTTGTAAAAATTTACATGCTTTTTCAAGATTTTGTTTTTTTGCCAAAGCATAAAGAAGAATTAAATTGGATACTCCGGGTTGATTTTCTCAATCCAAATTAATTTGATTGCGAGAATCAGTTTGACTGGCTTTAATTTTTTTTAAAATAATTTCCGGAGAATCAAGTAAAAAAAGAATGCCGGCTTGTTTTTCTTTTGACTTTGACATTTTCGTTAACGGATTCTGCAAATCACGAATACGATGTATATTTGCGGGCAACTTAACTAATTCGGGTTTTCGAAATAAGGAGAAATGAAATTTATGATTAATTCGATTTGCAATATCGCGAGCGAGTTCGATATGCTGTTTTTGATCGGGTCCGACCAAAACATCGGCATCATAAAGCATGATATCGGCTGCCATTAAAAGAGGATAATACAGCAGAGCAAATGAGGATTCGATTTTTTTTCGATTTTTATCTTTAAATTGAGTCATGCGATTTAATTCACCAAACGAAACATGGCAACTTAATAAAAAAGCTAAATCAGTATGACCATGAATTTCGGATTGAACAAAAATTTCCGACTCTTTTAATCCGCAAGCAAAATAAAGAGCGGCGGCTTTTTGTCTTAACTGATCCAGTTTTTGGGGATTATGATTGGTTGTAATGGCATGAAAATCAGCGATAAATGTCAATAAGTCATATTGGGAGCGAAGAGCTTTTAATTGCCGAATAATGACTAAATAATGTGCAATGGTTAAATTTCCGGAAATAGTAATTCCACTAACTAATTTTTTTTTGATCATTTTTAAACGATTTTTCTTTTTTTTTCGTTTTCGTTTTTCGGGACAAAATATCTAATCGTGTGGCTAAACTAAGACAAACAAAGAAAAAAATAATGTTGGAGAAAAAAATAGTGAAAAAAAGAGTGCGCGGAGCAAATAATCCGTTTTCTTTTCATACATGAATCAGCCCGAGAGACGAAACACTTAAACTAATCAAAACAAAAATAATCATAAAGAATAGAGTCTTTAAGTAATCTTTTTTCTTTTTCACATAAAAGCGAATATAAATCCCAATATTAAAAAAGTAAAAAAGAAATGCCGTCGTGGATAAAGATAAAAAAATGGTAACTAAAGTTTTTAGAGTTCCTTTTTGATAAAGAGCTTCATACAAACCTTCGAGAAATAAAGTCCCCACAACAAATAATGAGCAATAGGCAAAAATTAATAATAATTTATTTCTAAAAATTGTATGAAACCAAGAATAAGGAGTTCGGGAAGGAAAAGAAGAGAATTTCATTTAACTGGAGCAGGTGAAGGGAATCGAACCCTCATCGTCAGATTGGAAGTCTGGCATTCTGCCGTTGAACTACACCTGCTTATATTTAACAAATTTTAGCATATTCCCGGTTCTTTTTGACGAGATATCAAATTTAAAACTGAAAATTAGAATATTGAAAACGAACAAAAAAAGCACAAATTGCGACCGCATGACTTAAATTAATACTACTGGTGAGTGATGATTGCGGAATGCGAAAAAGATTTGGTTGTTTATTTAATAATTGAGAAGGTAAGCCAATTGATTCTTTTCCAAAAATTAAATAAATTGGATTGCCAAATTGAGTAAAATCCATTTTATTAATATTTTTTTTGGCTTTGGTGCTGGTAAAAAAGAAATCTCCTTTTTTGTTTTTATTTTTAAAATCTTTTCACGATGAATAAAGTTTTATGTGAGCTAAATGAAAATGATTTGTACTGCTTCTTTTTAATCATTTTTCGGAATAAATAAATCCAAAAGGTTCAATTAAATGCAAAGTAAATTCAAAGGCACAAGCTAAGCGAATGATTGAGCCGACATTGGTGGGAATTTCGGGTTCATGAAGAACGACATGTAATTTGGAAACGAAATAATATTGATTGAGAGACAATTCTTTTCAAAAATAAATTTGATGATGACAAACGGGGCAAAAAGTAATGAAAAAAATTGAATTATTGATCTTATGCTCAAATAGAGATCAGTCGGAATTCGTTCATTTTAATTGACTTTTGCACTGTCGACATAGGGTAATTTGTTTTTTTCAATTTTCGAAAGAAAGAGTAGATTTTTTCATTTAATAAATATCTTTTTTTGTCACTAACGGAGATTGCATAATTTCTTGAACAAAAATTGAAGGACGAAAAAAATCCGCTGTAATATATAAATGTTGTTGTGCACGAGTTAAGCCCACAAAAAACAATCGTCGTTCTTCTTCTATATCAAGGTTTAATCGAGAAGGAAAAATTTCTTCTGTAACTTGAAAAAGAAAAACATGCTTAAATTCCAATCCCTTGGCTCCATGAAGCGTCATTAAATTAACACGTTGATGATTATCAACGAAGTCATCTGCTAAATAAATTTTTGTTTCCGCTAAAAACCTTTCAATTTGCTGATTCAAAGCAAGTTCGATATTTGTTTTTTCAAAATTGATAACAATTTCTAAAAAAGTATTTAAATTATTTATTCGATTTTTTTTATCGATATAGCGTTCTAAAAAAGGAGCATAAAGATTGGTAATTAATTCTTGGCAAAGAAGTCGAAAAGATTTCATTTGAGAGAGATTATTTTGCAGTTTTTTTAACGGTAAAATTAATGTTTTTAAATCGGACTGATAACGAGTCAATGTGGTTTCATTCATATTTGTCAGTATATATTCAAAAAGAGACAAATTTAGTTTGTCGGCCGATAACTTAAACTTTTGAATAGTTTTGCTGCCGATATTTTTGACTCATAACAACAACTGTTCAAAATAAAAATTCGTCGGTTCAATTAAAATCGTGAGTAATAAAATTAAATCTTTAATTTCTCGACGAGCAAAAAAACGAAATCCTTTAAAAATTAAATAAGGAACTTGCGCTTGTAAAAGAAAGCTTTCTAAAAAACCGGATAAATAATTAGAACGATAAAAAATTGCAATCTTATCGGGTTTTTCTCCTTGTATGATTAAATCTTGAACTTTTTGTGTAATAAATTTAGCTTGATCATACTGGCTGCCGATGCGTAATTGAATTTTGGAACCGCGAGACAACTGACTAAAAATATTTTTAGAAATACGTTTTTTATTTTTTTTAATGGACAAATTGGCAAGCTGAACAATATTTTGCGTTGAGCGATAATTTTTTATTAACTTGACTGTCTTCACTTCCCGAAATTTTTTATTAAAGTTTAAGATATGTTCAATTTTGGCATTTCTTCATCCATAAATGGTTTGATCGGGGTCGCCCACAACGGTTGTTTTTATTTTTTTTCCTTTGGCGGATAATAATTCAATCAAAGAATATTGCAAATCACTAATATCTTGAAACTCATCAATCAATAAGTGAGAAAAACGAGCTTGTCATTTGGCCAAAAGAATTTCATCTGATTTTAATAAGTTATAGGTTTTAAGAAGTAAATCACCAAAATCGAAAAAATTGTTTTTTTGCTTTAAGTGTTCGTAAATTGAATATGTTTGTCAAATTTCTTGATATTTATTTACCGATATTTCAATTTCGTGAGTATGAGATTGCCAAAGAGCAAAAAAATCCTTTTCATTATCAATTTTTAGTTCTTGAATAAAACTAAAAATATTGGCCAAAACACGAATCGTTTCTTTTTCAATTTTCTTTTTAGAAAGATTTTTTTGAGTTTGTTGCAAAATTGCATCTTTAATTAAATGATAGGCATCTTGTTGATCTAATACTAAAAACCCTTTTTTGGAATCTTGCAAAGAAAGACGATCTTTTTCAACCGATAAAAAATAATAACAAAAACTATGATAAGTAAATATTGAAGTTTTGGATGGTCGAAGTTGTATTTCTTTTTTTAAACGATTTTCTAAATTAGCGCATGTGCGACGAGTGAAAGTTAAAGCTAAAATTTTATGAATCGGAATTTTAAAATGACGAACGAAGTGAAGATAACGTTCGGTCAAAACAGTGGTTTTACCAGTTCCGGGACCAGCAATAATTAATAAATTATTTTCCGGATTAGCTAAAACTGCTTGTTGTTGTTCCGAATTTAAAATACTTAAAGATTTGGTGATTGCTGATTCTTTGGGCATATTTTTTATTTTTTCGCTCATAAAAGTGTATTTCTTATGTTTCCTTAAATCAACCTTTTTTCGGCGATCATCAATCACAATCAGATTCATTCAACGATCATAAAACAGCTGTCCTTGTGGATTAATTTTTTGAAAAACAAAAAGAAAAACATATCAAAAAACTCATAACTGACCGGCAAGAACCAAATTAATTTGTTTTTGTTCGGTTGCCGGGCGAAGAACAAGAGCAAATAAAAAATATATTGCCGTAATAAAAACTAACGGAACCATAAAAATATAAGTTTCGCGAAATAATAATGTATAAAAAGGCGGATGTTGTTGATCTCGGGATTGTAAACGAATTCGAAAAATTAATTTACCGAGAGTTCGTCCTTTCAAAATATAAGACAAACAAACAAAATAGAGAAAAAAAATCGGCAACACAAGTCCGTTAATCAATAAAATTCGGTAAATTTCTTTTCAGGAAGACGCTATTTTTTGAAATAAAAAAAACAACAATGAATAAATGACAATGAACAATAATAAATCAAAAATTCGGGCCGCAACACGTTTTCAATTATAGGCGAGAAAATAATCATTTTCTTTAAACATGAAATAAATTAATTAGTTTGAAAGGGTTTTCGATGAAACATGTGCTTCGACGAAGAGGATTTTTTCTGCAAATTTTGTTCCAAATAAGAGAAAAATCTTTTGGTCATTTTTGGACGAACAAAAACTCAATAAAACACGAAATTAAAAATAGGATTTCAAATCAATAGAATAACAAAGAAAAACGGATAGGCACGAAAAAAAAAGAGAGAATTTTTGCCCGGTCCCAGCGATTGTTCCGAAAAATATATAATACCAATCATTCAAAAGGCCAAAAAATAAAAAAGAGGAATTCCGATAATCATGAAAGCGAGAGCTCGGGAATAATTTTTCAACAAAGAAATTAAAAAAGCAGACAATCCGGATGCAGTTCAAATAAAAATAAATAAAGGATTAAAATAACTCATTAAGTCAAATAAAAAATGACCGATAAAGCAAGACAAAAAAGCGAAAAAAGGAGGAAAAACAAAACCCGAAAATCAAACTAACAAATAAAAAACCGGTACTAATAATTCTCCGGAAAAAGCACGAAACTCAACCATGACAAACCCCATCATTGGCCAAAGCGCCATAATTAAAGAAAACAAAACCAATCGACGAGTTTTTCCGTAGTTATACATTTAACGAAACTGCTTAAAATTTATTTTATAGTTTTATAAACGAAAAAAAATTTTATAATAAAATGAAACTCACAAAAAAAATGATTTTGTCCACATAGTTTAACGGTAGAACGAGTTTTTCCTAAAAATTAGGTGTCAGTTCAATTCTGGCTGTGGATACCAAAAAGAAACTAAAAATGGTAGGACCATTGGGATTTGAACCCAAGACCTCTCGGTTATAAACCGAGCGCTCTCACCAAACTGAGCTATGGTCCCTTCAATTTAACGCTTAGAAAATTGAGGTGCTTTACGTGCCTTCTTTAAACCGTATTTTTTTCGTTCTTTAATTCGAGAATCTCGAGTTAAGAAACCTTGATCTCGCAAAACTAAGCGATTTTTTTCCGACACTTTGGCCAGGGCACATGATATGCCGAGCGAGCATGCTCCTGCTTGTCCAGCAAATCCACCGCCATTCACTTTAATTCGAATATCATATTTGTTTAAATTTTTAGTGACTAAAAGAGGTTTTTCAATCATTTGTACAAAAATATCACTCGGAAAAAAATCTCTCAAAGGAGTTTTGAAATTTTCTGCTTTTGTGACATGATGAATATAAATGGAACCTTTATTTTCCTTGTTCCGCATCATAATTACTTGAGCGATAGATGATTTTCGTTTTCCGGTTGCTTGAATTTTACCCATGATGAATTTTTAATAGTTGTGGTTTTTGACCGTTGTGTTTGTGTTGTTCGGCGCCGTAAATGAAAAGAGACTTAATTTGTTGACGAGCCAAGCGGTTTTTGGGCAACATTCTTTTTACCGCTAAACGCAATAATTCTGTATTTTTAGCTTCGTGTAGCGTTTTTGCATCTTTTTGTTTGAGTCCACCCGGATATTGAGAATGAGAATAATACATTTTTGAAGTTCATTTATTTCCCGTTAAACGAATTTGCGCCGAATTAATGACTACAACATTTGTTCCACAATCAATGTTGGGAGAAAAATATGGTTTATTTTTACCTCGTAAAAGAATCGCAATTTGAGTGGCCAAACGACCTAAAATTAAATTTTTCGCATCAATTAAAATTCACTCTTTTTGAACCGATTGAGAAGGAATTGTTTTTGTAATTTTCATATTGAAAAAAAGTTTATTATAATTTTACCGAAAAAAATAAAGGGAAAACAAATTATTTAATGAGAAAATGACAAAAATTGATTAAAATTATCGGTTCACTCAATAACATTTTCCGTTCAAGTGCCCAATTCCAAAAACAAAGTCTTTGCTAAAAAAAATAAAAGAAAAACAAAAAAAATCACTCCGGTGATGATTCAATCACTTTTACGAATATAAGATTGTTGAAAACGAGTCCGGGATGAATAAGGATCATACCCTCGCGCTTCCATAGAAAGAGCGATTTCTTCCGCACGATTAAAAATAGAAACAATCAAGGGAATGAGCAAGGCAACTAAGCAGCGTATTTTCGTGCGAAATCCGCCATTATGAAAATCCAATCCGCGACTCGCTTGAGCTTTCATAATGACCGCGGCTTCCTGAGCCAAAGTTGGAACGAGACGTAAAGTTAACGAAATAATCGTCGAAAAAATATGAATCGGAAAACGTAAATAACGAAGCGGCGAAAGTAAGCTTTCAATCGAATAGGTTAAGGTTTCGGGACGAGTTGTAGAAGTAAGAATCATGGTCAATAGAATAACCAATAAAACACGAATCGTATAGTAAAAAGAACGAATAATACCGCCAAAAGTTAAACGTAAAAATGATTTACGAAAAATTTCATTGTCTAACTCAAAAAACTTATGAGATTCGGTGGTCTCTCCAGTAAAAAACAAATTAAAAATCAAAAGAAATAAAAGCATAAAAAGAATTGATTTTAAAATTGTAATTAATGATTTTCAAGGAGTTTTGGAAATTGAATAAACAATTAACAAAAAGAAAATATACCCCAAATAAAAAAACAGATTATGCCAAACAAAAACCATAGTAAGCAAAAAGAAAAAACAAATAATTTTGAGTCTTCCATCATAACGATGAAACATTGTATTTCGACTGATATAGCGACCAAAAGTATTCATATTATTTTTTCTTATGTTTCTGTAAAGAAGCAACTAAACTATCAATTAAATTCTTTTCCGTTTTAAAATCAATTTCCTTAATATTAAAGCTTTGTTTTTTCAAATTTTGTAAAAAATGAATTGTTTTTGGAACATAAATATCGTATTTTTTACATTTAATTGAATCAAAAAACAATTTCTGCGGGGTTGTCGTTTCTTGCACTTGACCATCTTTCATAATTACCACATAATCAGCCATTTCTAAAACACATTCCATATTATTCGTGGTAAAAATAATTGTTTTAGAATATTTATGATTTAAATTTTTTAAAAACTTTGTGAAATTGTTTTGTGTTTCAATGTCGAGACCGCGCACCATTTCATCCACTAAAATAATTTCAGGATCATAAGTAAAAATACCCGCAATCGCTACTTTTCTTTTTTCTCCGCCCGATAACTGAAAGGGGGATTTGTTTAAATATGTATCAGGAATATCCAATAATTGAAAATATTTTTGTTGATTTTTTTGAATAATTTTTTTATTTATGCCGAAATTTCGTGGAGCAAAATAAATGTCTTTTTTCACTGTTTCTTCAAATAATTGCTGTTCGGGAAATTGAAATAAAAAACCAATTTTTTTTCTTAATTGGGGTAATTGTTTACGTGATTTTTTTTTCGTTGAAAGAACAAAATCATCAATAAGAATTTTTCCTTTTGTGGGTCAAATTAATCCATTTAAGTGTTGTAATAAAACGGTTTTCCCGGCCGGTGATGGCCCAATAATTGCGGTAACTTTTCCGGGAACAAAATCAATATTAACATTGTCTAGAATTGGTTTTCTTTGAGAAAGAGAAAAACCGAAAGTTTGAGTTAAGTTTTTTACTTGAATTTTTTTAATTGGCATAATTTTTCTAAAATCATTTCTTCCTTCAAAATTAATTTTGAAGTTAATTTATTTTCTTTTAATCGTAGTCCTAATTGAACCAAAAAAGGCATTTTCAAACCTTTGGTCTTTTGAAGAGAAGCAAAATTTTCCTTTTCTAAATCTTTGGGAGAACCAAAAAATTTCATTTTTCCTTTTTCTAAAACTAAAACTTTATCGGCAGCGGAAATTCGTTCTATTTTATGAGTAATTTCAATTAATGCTTTGGTTTTATCTTCGCGAATTTTTTGAATAATTTTCAAAATTTCTCGTTTTCCTTTTTCATCAATTAAACTTGTTGGTTCGTCCAAAATAATAATACGAGGATTGCGAATGAGAGTGGAACCAAAAGCAACTCGTTGTTTGTCTCCGGCGCTCAAATTTACCGGTTGTTCGTGAAGAATCGAATTAATTTGAATTTGTTCGGTGATATTAATAACTTTCTGTGGAATTTCATTTGGAGAAACACACATCGTTTCCAATCCGAAAATTAAATCATTTTGCACCGTACTTCCAATAAATTGACTTTCGGGATTTTGAAAGACTAATCCAATTTGACGAGTAATTTCCAGTTGATTTTTTTCGTTTAAAAGTTTATCAAATAAATATACATTACCCGTGAAATTAATATAAAGGCCACTAATAACTTTCGCTAAAGTTGATTTTCCGCTACCATTCTGACCAATAATGACTAGGTGTTCATTTTCTTTTAAAGTAAAAGAAATATTATCTATAGATTTGTTGGGTTGGGAATTATAAACAAAAGAAACATTTTTCAATTGTAAAATTGGTCGCTTATTTTTTTTCATATCATGATTTAAATAATTTGCAAACGATAAATTGTGGCATTGTCGCCCGTCCGCGGACCTAAATTATAAACTTTTAAATAACCGCCATTGCGTTTTTCTTTTTTATATTTTTTGGCTAACTCTTGAAGTTTTTGTAACGGCAAAATTTTACTATCATGAGTATGATTTTTTCGCAAAATTTTGAGAATTAAACGAATGCTGTGCAAATCTTCTTTTTTCGCTAAAGTAATTAATTGATCGAATATTTTTTGCACATAGGGTTTTCGACTCGCGGTAGTCGAAATATGTCCGTGTAATAATAATTCAGTTACCAAATTACGGAGAATATTGCGCCTTTTTGCACGAATGTGTCCAGCATTAATCGTTCTTGACATAATTGAATGTTATTTTACCCTAATCTTCCAATGTAATATTGTAACTTTTCAGTTTTAAAATAATTTCATCCAGAGATTTTTGACCAACATTTTTTAAACTTATCAATTCATTTTTCGTCAATTTCCGTAATTGACTTAATTTTTTGATACCGACCATTTCTAAAGCATTATCGGTTCTTTTGGAAAAATCCAAATTAATGATATCCTCATCAAATTCGTCCACTTTTTTTTCTTCTCCTTTGGCAAAAGTAAAGTCGGTTACCTTTTTACCTTTCATTTCCAGCAAAAAGTTTAAATGAGATTGTAAAATTTGACTGGCATCCACAAGACAATCAATCGGATCAATGGTGTGATTTGTTTTAATTCTCAAAACTAATTTTTCAATTACCGATCTTTCTCCCACCTTGATTTCATCCACTTTCAAAGAGACTAGGTTGACGGGGGATAAATTTGCACTTAAAGCAATAATGCCAATCGGACTTTGTTGAATCAGTTTGATTAACTCTTTTGATTCTTCAAAATTAGTAAATCCGCGTCCGTAAATTACTCAAAAATCGATTTCAATTTCCTGATTGGGTTTTGTAAGCTCACAAATTTCCGTTTCAGGATTGATAATTTTCAATCCGGCCGGAACTTGAATATCTTTTGCCGTTACTTTTTTTTCTCCTTTTACTTTTAAAGTCAATCGAATCGGTTCGTGTTCTTTAATCGTATCGGGCACGAAAGAAATTAAAATTTTTTGAATATTTAATCCAATTTGTAAAACACTTTCGACACATCCGGGTAAATTTTGAAATTCCTGTGCGACACCGTGAATACGAAAAGCAAAAATTGCCGCACCGGGTAGAGCCGACAATAATACTCGGCGCAGAGTGTTTCCGAGCGTAGTTCCAAATCCCTGAACTAAGGGTTGCATCGTAATCTCAACCGTCGAATCTTTTTTATTCGCTTGAGTTACGGAAAATTTAGGTAAATAAAATTTATTCATTTTGAATCCTTTCTTTGATATTTATTTTTTATCCACGGGGTTGTTTGGGCGGGCGGCATCCGTTATGCGCAATCGGAGTGACATCGGCAATGGAATTGATTTTGAATTCTCCG